GAGACGCATCGCACGCTCTCGCAAGCTCTGCCTCAACGCGTTTTCGTTCTCACCTCCCAGGCCGATCCTGAACCCGCGGACCGGTGTGACAGGCGAGGATAGTGGTGCACCACCCGTGACTGCATGGGTGGGTTGCAGGGTGCCCCCCACGCCATCTGTGACCTTCCACACACACGGACCATGACCCCGGCCTGTCCCTGCTGAGTTCGTCGGTGGTGCTGCAACTCTGGCACTAGGACACACTGGATGCTGCACTGCGATAGACGGAGGAGAGGTGACTGCCTCTTGTGGGAGCTGCGCCGGGTATGGTGGTTCGAATCCACCGCCACATGCATTCATACTGGAGCACTGGCCAGGGACGACGTCCCCCTGCCCCGGGACCTGCGAGGAGTGCACAAGGCCAACTTCCGCTTCAAACGGACCCAGGTTCTGGGACTCGCTATACCCCCAGTCCGGGATCCCTGACAGGCCTGCACCGCAATAACCAGTGTGGTTCGCCATGAACAGAGACGGCGTCTTAGCTGTCGTTCGTTCACTGTGAGCAAGGGCGCCTTGGCCATGGATCACGAAGCCTACACTGAACGCAATGGAACGTGGACGTCAACGACGAAAGGTAGCAGAGCAGTATTTGCATCGCAATAACCACTGGCACGACACGAGATGGAATCGAGATCTAACCATCTCACGAAGATCTACGAGCAGTAACATGGAAACCCAATGAGGCTACAAGGGGATGTCGACGTTTCCACATGCAGACCCGTGCTGCATGCGGCCACCGCTCCCCGCTCACCACGATCACAAGGTGCTACCTTTGGCAAATGCAACTACACTATGATTTTGGCCAGATGYGGACAGCGCGAATGAACGTCAGCGTCGGTGCAAGTCCAGGTTCACAGACTATCGCCACTACAACTCAGCCGTGCATTCCGGCGCGTTAAGGGACCTCTGACAGCTTAATAACGTCGTCGTAGAGGAGGACACACCGTGCCAAACGAGTTTTGAGACGGAAACAAAAAAAAGTGAAGCTGCAAAAACACCCCACATGAAAATTTTCCATAAAAACGAGGCTTCCCGCCCGAYGAACTTGCTCCCAACAAAAACGCGAATATATATTTCAAAATTTTCTATTGGACGCGGGTATTCAAAACAGAGGCGGGATATAAAAAAACATCACCCGCGTCGATCGGGGCCACGATCTGTGGTCACCCGTGGTCACCCACGGCCGAACGTGGTCGAAAGCCCTGCGTCCTAGCAAAACTCTTCACTAGTCGGACTTGACCCCTGCGAGCATAATGTGACATTTTTTCGGAAAAAAAACGAAAAACAATAATAATAAATAACAACAAGGAAAATTTGTTCAAGTGACCCTGAAAGTTTGGGTGTTTCGTCGGATCCCCAAACGTCGGATACCGCCGGAAAAGGCATGAGTATGGCGATATGCCCCTATGACACTAGTGAAATTTGCCAAATACCCCACTTGTCATCTTATGTATATACCCCTACCGGGTCCTGGGAAACCTGTCTTTATGCTCCAGTATTTTAGGCCTTTGGACCCTGCAGATTGCAAAAGAAATGCTCGGGCGCGGTTCAGCCTGGGGCCAGGGCATATGGCGAAGTTGGCAATGAGCGTGACAGGGGCAGATGCAGAAGTTTGGGGCATTTCAGCTTAGCCCTGTGTTGTAGGGGTATCTAACGAAATACCCAAACTTTTAGGGGTATCTCAACAAGTTTTCATAATAATAATAATAATAATAATAATAATAATAATAATAATAACATCAATAACCGAAGAAGTCGAAGACGACGACGACGACGACGACGAAGAAGAAGAAGAAGAAGCATCGTCCTCAGGGACATCCGTTGAAATCGGAACGAACAGAGAAGATTAGCATGGCCCCTGCGCAAGGATGACACGCATAAATCGAGATGTGGTCCAAATTATAAAGGAGAAGAAGAAGACGAAGCAGCAGCAGCAGCAGCAGCAGAAGTACAATGTTCTTGTATTAAGACGGAATAAATCCAGAAATGGTCTTTAGTTTGCCCGCTTGTTTTTCCGCATGCAGGTCGTTGTTATGGGTTCGGTTCCCACTCTGATGCCCTGCTCCTACGACGGGATTCCGCTCTCCATAGAGCACGAAGTCTTGCGTCTTGCAGGAATATATGTCGATGTGGCAAAACTCGCCTATGTTTGAAAGGGTGAATTGAATTCATGTTCAGTCCCTCGTTAACCTGAACATGTGCAGGTATGAAAACGGCGCAAAGAGGGGTGGAAGGGGGAGAGTGGGCAGGGGTGGGGCCAATCAAAAAAGAACAGCGCAGGATCTGACTATATTAGCTATTTGCCATTACACAATTTAGTATTATGCTGAGAATCCTCGATAAGGGTTGGAACGCGCGCGCGCGCGCGCGCGCGCGCGAGAGAGAGAGAGAGAGAGAGAGAGAGAGAGAGAGAGAGAGAGAGAGAGATTGAAACTAACTGCTTTGGATTCCTGCTTTTCCCCCTGCTACCTATCACCCAATCATCATCCCGATCTCACTTCCCCTGATTAATATGATCTTGATTTCCTCCCCGTCCTCCTCACGCCCTGTCATCATCCTTATCTCCTATTCCTCCTTATCCTTACTCCAATCCGTCATCTTTCGGGATCCCTATTCCCGCCCCCCTTCCCTGCTTTCCTCCTATCATCTTGCCGATCTCCCTATTCCCCCGCCCCCTTCCGTGCTTTCTTACAATCACCTTGCCGATCTCCTCCACCGTTCACATCATCACTCTCAAATTTCTGATCAGAGAGGATCCTGTTTCCGTCCATACATTGCTCTGTCATTTCCCTTCTACGTGACTGAACACAGGTTTGAATGGCAAGCACCCCATGAATTTCTCCCCCTCTCCCCAAATCTCCTTACCCCTTCCCCTCCCTTTCCCCCTTTCCCCCTTTCCCCCTT